ACATGAACTACAATTCCATGGTCAAAGAAGGGACAGTAGAAATATATGAAAACATAAAAAATAAAGTATAAATGACAGTAACCAACTTTGATGAAACATCTGTGAGAAATACATTTCATTACATACCTCTACTATATAAATAGGGAAATGGAGCTGCAGACAGTTTGGATGACTCACCCAGGTGATATAGCTACAAGTGACAACTTCGCATTGGAATGCAGTTGTCTCCAGAGCCCATCCTCTTAGCAGTAAACCACAATCTTCTCCAAGTCCTTTACCTGAGCTCTTTCCTCCCAGCTGTAGCCCAGGTCCAGCCCGCCTCCTTGGCTGTAATTGGGAAGTGAGACATAGCTCTGAAGCAAAGGGAAAGGCTGGTAGTATCAGCATCAATCTCCAGTGAACACAAGATATTTTGCAAGAGGTTAAATATTACCACTTTTTAAATTTTTTTTGTCCTTGAGAATACTCTTTGGTGAGGGCCAGGGGAAGGAATTGGACAGTTCTGCTGGTAACATCAATTCAATTCAGTTCAGTCCCTCAGTCGTCTCTGACCCTTTGAGAACCCACAGCCTGCAGCACACCAGGCTTCCCTGTCCATCACCAACTCCCAGAGCTTGCTCAAACTCATGTCCATTGAGTCGGTGATGCCATCCAACCATCTCATCCTCTATCATCCCCTTCTTCTTCTGCCTTCAACCTTTCCCAGCTTCAGGATCTTTTCCAATGAGTCAGTTCTTCACATTAGGTGACCAAAGTATTGGAGTTTCAGCTTCAACATCAGTCCTTACAAAGAATATTCAGTACTGATTTCCTTTAGGATTGACTGGTTTGATCTCCTTGCAGTCCAAGGGACTCTCAAGAGTCTTCTCCAACACCACAGTTCAAAAGCATCAGTTCTTTGGCACTCAGCTTTCCTTATGGTCCAACTCTCACATCTGTACATGACTACTGGAAAAACAATAGCTTTGACTGGACAGACCTTTGTTGACAAAGTAATGTCTCACCTTTTGAATATGCTGCCTAGGTTTGTCATAGCTTTTCTCCCAAGGAACAAGTGTCTTTTAATTTCATGGCTGCAGTCACCATTGGCACTGATTTTGGAGCCCAAGAAAATAAAGTCTGTCACTGTTTCCACTGTCTCCCCATCTATTTGTCATGAAACGATGGGACTGGATGCCATGATCTTAGTTTTTTGAATGTTGAGTTTTAAGCCAACTTTTTCACTCTCCTCTTTCACTTTCATCAAGAGGCTCTTCAGTTTCTCTTCACTTTCTGCCATAAGGGTGGTGTCATCTGCGTATCTGAGGTTGTTGATATTTCTCCTGGCAATCTTGACTCCAGCTTGTGCTTCATCCAGCCTGGCCTTTCACATGATGTACTCTGCATAGATGTTAAATATGCAGGGTGACAACATACAGCCTTGACGTATTCCTTTTCCTATTTGGAACCAGTCTGTTGGTCCATGTCCAGTTCTAACTGTTGCCTCCTGACCTGCATACAGGTTTCTCAAGAGGCAGGTCAGGTGGTCTGGTATTCCCATATCTTTCAGAATTTTCCACAGTTTATTGTGATCCACACAGACAAAGGCGATGGCATAGTCAATAAAGCAGAAATAGATGTTTTTTTGGAAATCTCTTGCTTTTTCGATGATCCATCGGATGTTGGCAATTTGATCTCTGGTTCCTCTGCCTTTTCTAAAGCCAGCTTGAACATCTGGAAGTTCACGGTTCATGTATTGCTGAAGCCTGTCTTGGAGAATTTTAAGCATTACTTTACTAGCATGTGAGACGAGTGCAACTGTGCAGTAGTTTGAGCATTCTTTGGCATTGCCTTTCTTTGGGATTAGAATGAAAACTTACCTTTTCCAGTCCTGTGGCCACTTCTCCTTTTTCCTGGGTCCTGGTGCACATGGTTCTATCTGTGCCCTCCAAAAGTCTGTCTCCCCAGGCCTGTGTAAGTTCTGGCGGCTCTGTGGTGGAGTTAATGGTGACTTCCTCCAAGACTGCTTATGCCATACCCAGGTCTGCTGCACCCAAAGCCCCTACCCCTGCGGCAGTCTACTGCTGACCCCTACCTCTGTAGGAGACACTCAAACACAGTTCTGTCTCAGTCTCTGTGGAGTCTCTGGGTCCTGAGGGCACAAAGTTTGAGCCCTCTGAGCATCTCTGAGTGCTTGCTCCTTGGAAGAAAAGTTATGACCAACCTAGACAGCATATTAAAAAGCAGAGACATTACATTGCCAACAAAATCCATCTAGTCAAAGCTATGGCTTTTCCAGTAGTCAGGTATGGATGTGACATTTGGACTATAAAGTAAGCTAAGCGCTGAAGAACTAATGCCTTTGAGCTGTGGTGTTGGAGAAGACTCATGAGAGTCCCTTGGACTGCAAAGAGATCCAACCAGTCCATCCTAAAGGAAATCAGTCCTGAATATTCACTGGAAGGACTGATGCTAAAGCTGAAACTCCAATATTTTGGTCACCTGATGTGAAGAACTAACTCATTGGAAAAGACCCTGTTGCTGGGAAAGATTGAAGGCGTGAGGAGAAGCGGACGGCAGAGGATGAGATGGTTGGATGGCATCACTGACTCAATGGACATGAGTTTGAGTAGGCTCTGGGAGTTTGTGATGGACAGGGAGGCCTGGCGTGCTGCAGTCCATGGGGTTGCAAAGAGTTGGACATAACTGAGCGACTGAACTTACCTGAACTCTCCCTCTTGGTGATGGCTTATTAGTTCCGTATTCCTTACCAGGACTTCCAGTTGTAAAATGACTCATGCAGATGGTTATGAGGATGCCTGGCCAGGGTGGGCCGTTTCAGTCTGTGTTCATCCCCTAACAATTGTATTACTGAAAGCTCAGCCTCTTTGTACATCAGAGCAAATCAATTCCTGGAGACAGAGTTTTGGGTGAAGTAGAAAAGAACAGCTTTACTACTTTGCCAGGCAAAGGGAGACACATCAGGCTCCTGCCTCAAAAAGCTATGTGTCCCAACCTGGGAGGATTTGAGGATGGGTTTTATAACGATGATTCATAAGCAGGGCCTCTGACAAGATTAATGTGTGAGCAAGGCTGAAGCTGAAGCTCCAATACTTTGGCCACCTGATACGAAGAGCCGACTCGTTGGAAAAGACCCTGATGCTGGAAAAGATTGAAGGCAGGAGGAGGAGAGGATGACAGAGGATGCAAGGGTTGGATGACATCACTGACTCAATGGACATGAATTTGAGCAAGCTCCGGGAGATGGTGATGGACAGGGAAGCCTGTTGTCCTGCATGCAGCCCACGGGATTGCCAAGAGTTGGACATGACTGAGCGACTGAACAACAAGAGCTTGCACTCCCTTAATCTTGTCTCAGGTGGGGGTCTCCCAATCTTGATGAACTGCTCTAGTCCCTTTAACCTTGTCTCAGGTGGTTTCTTGGCTGCTCCTCCCCTAATTAGCAACTGTTAGAAGCTGCCCTTTGGAACTTAGGGAAAGCCATGGAGGCTGGAATCTTGCCCGCAAGAAATGGGAGATGGAAAAGCTTCAGTGCCTGGGAGACCCACAGGGCCCTGCTCGGTTTCAATATTTATATATTATGCCTTTGCTATCTTTTCATTATTTTATATGTTGATCAAAGTAACGTCATTCTTATTTTGCTAGTTTCTAATTTTTTTCTTGAACATTTTTCCCCTTTAGGATTTGAAAATTAGTAATAGGAATGATCATTCTTTCATCTTCAACTTTTAGATTGTTTACTTTTTCCCCTTTGGCTTTGTGGTATCTCCTTGATCTCTATAATCATTATTTTTTATGCACTAGATGTGTGTGGTGATCACAAAGAATGCTTTATGACACAGAGAAAGGCTCACAATTTAAAGTCTCAAAAAAATAAGGTAAAATAAAGCAGGACTCAAAATTGCAAGTACAAGGATTTCCTGGTTAAAAATCCGCCTTGCAATGCAGGGCAATGTGCGTTCAATCCCTGGTTGGGGAACTAAGATCTCGCATGGCTGCAGAAAAACTAAGCTGAGTGCCACAGCTAGTGAGCTTAAGCCACAAGGAAGATCCTGTGTGTAGTAACTAAGTCCCAGTGCAGCCAAATAAATAAATGAAATATTAAGAAGAATTCTAAGTACAGTGGGAACCCAAGTGACTATTTAAACATTTTTTGTTTTACACTATCCCAAAATATTGACAGACATCACTCTGGGTAGTGAGATTATGAATAATTTTTTTTTTTAAGATTTCTGTGTATTTTTTATGTTTTCTGCAAAACATATATGTTTTGTGTATTTATTTGAATCAGAGCCAAAAGTTGGAAGTGAAGCCAAAGGGGTGATTTTGTTGAAGAGTTCCTACAGCTGCTAAGGGTTGTCCATCCGCAAGAAGACTTCCCTTACAGCCCTGTCTTGAGGCATCTGTTTCTGGTTTTCTGGTGGGCAGCTGGTAGGTTTGTGTAGAGAGCATGAGTGTGGGAGCTTATGTGTGTAGGGGGTCGCCGGGGGGTGCACAGTAATCCAAGGGAGAAGTCTGACAGTCTGATTTCTCCTGGGAGGTACCAGAGCTCTCTTAGTCTATGGTTAAAAGCAGTGCTATTTAGAATAGAATGGAAATAACATCTGGATCCACATGGAAGTTATCTGGTCCCGGTCACTCTCCATCTTAGATTCATTTTCCCAAACAAGGTTATTTGAGCAAGTTCTGGCCTTTTAAATCAGATTGGTAGTGTACTATTAGATATATTTTTCAGCCTCACTTTGCTTAATTTTCCCAATCATTAAGGGCTAAATAATAATATTATTATTTAGCAGAATATCTCCTGCTATCTCATTAAAGTGTCCTGAGGATTTAGGAATAAATGTCTCCTGTACATTTTTTTTGGCTACTTCATAGGCCACAGTAGCTCTTTATAACAAATTAAGTTGCAAAGACATATAGGTTAGAAAGAAGTGTGTGTGTGTGTGTGTGTGTGTGTGTGTGTGTAATATGCTTTCCTTTTTCTTTTACCTTCCCAGGCTTTATTCCATTATTCTTCCTTCTGGGAAATGAAACAGAATGACTGAAGTCCTGTCGTGTCGAAAGGTTTGTTTAATTGACTGTCCCATGTGAAAATATGCAGTGTTAACTGAGAAGCATGACTGATGTGACTGTGGAGACCCATCAGACTGACTCATTTATCAGATACTAAAGAGTTGTTTCATAGATTGGCTTTTCTGGTCATTTTTCAATAGAATTAAAGCCTGAGCAATTATAAGAAAAACAAAGAACTCTTAGGGTTGTTTTTTTTTCTTGGATAGGGTCATCTAACCATTTGGGAGCCCTAACATAAGAATCTGTGATTTTTTCCCCCAAGCTCATTTTTGTCACACAGAGCAGAAATGTGTGAATGAACATAAAACAACAACAAATTCCCATGTCAAATAAACATAAAGGAAAGACATTTTCAAGGGACTGTTTTATGAGAGTTAATATATAGAGTGCAATTCTTGTCGATTGATCATATTCCGTTTTATTCAGGCTCAGGCTTCTGGTGAGCTTTTGGGTTAACAGACAGAAAATGAGATGATACAATTCTGATAATATATCATTCTTGTATGAACCCCCTCATCATTATGTCTAAACTGGCAATCTCTTTAGTTGAGTTGGGCACAACTTATGGCTCCATGCACCAATTACAAGGATATAAAATTAATGTAATGGTTCCTCCCTGGTGGTCCAGGGGCTAAGACTCTGTGCTTCCAATGCAGGGGGCCTAGGTGCAATTCCTGGTCAGGGAACCAGATCCCACAAGGTGGAACTAAGAGTTTTCATGCCACAGCTAAAGATCCCACTTGCCACAAGGAAGATCAAAGACCCAGTGCAGGCAAATACATAAATATATATATTTTTAATAAAAAATAATATAAAATTAATGGAAGATATTTCATATGTGAGGTGGAGAGAGTAAAAAAAGTGAAAGTGTTAGTTGCTCAGTTGTGTCTGACTCTGCAACCCCATGGACTATAGCTCACCAGGCTTCTCTGTCCATAGGATTTCCCAGGAAAGAATACTGGAGTGGGTTGCCATTTTCCTTTTCCACGGAATCTTCCCATCCCAGGGATCAAACCCTGGTCTCCTGTACTTCAGACAGATTCTCTACCTTCTGAGCCACTGGGGAGAGAGTTAGGACTGATGAAATAACAAGGTAATAGTTCAGGTCTACAGTGTGTAGTCCTTTGCATTTGTACTCATCACATCTGATGTTTCCACATTGCTAACATGTGTGCCTTTCATGTGTGTAGTTTGAGGAGGGAGCAATGGATCTGTGCTACTGTAGGCATGGGAGGCTGCATTCTAATCACCAAGCTATGACCCAATAAAACCAGCATCTCACACAGGATCAGGACGGAGTTCTAATTCAGCCTTCTGTCTTGAATTGCTCACCCATCAACACAGAGCTGCTATATCTGAGCTGTTCTGAAAGTCTGGCGTGCTCACCAGAAACTGGCAGCAAGCCATTTTCTATGGAGATGTTTGTTTGGTGTTTAAAACATGCAAAACTTAGCATCTTTGGTAAAGTAGAAAAACAACAGTTTCTTATTCATAAATAATGATACTTTTCTGGACAAAAAATGTCAGTAAAAAACCTGGTTTGAAACTAGACTTTTTTCCAGTATGAATAAGAGTTCAATTATTTTTCTCACTCAAGCTTTGGGCTTGCGTCTCTCTTTTCGGACAGTTTTGTGTCTCATTTCTTGTACAGATTTCTATTGCCTTCATGGCTTTCACAGAGAATTTAATCCTTGGCAGTGAAAAGAAAGAATCCCAGGGGGCAACTGGGGGGAGGTGGGAGGGACTAGCTAAGTTGAAGGAGTTCAATTTGAATTGAAAAATCCTTTAGTCATGCCAACGATGTGAAATCATCAAAGACACAAAGATCTTACCCAGTAAAAACAGAGGTAAACCTTGGCCTTGCAGGAAGCACATTCTCTTTTCATTGCTCAAAACTGTGATGTCAATCTTGCAGTAGGTTATCCTTGAAAGAGAATATTACTCTCACCTTTTAGAAACCCTTTGCTACTTTACAGTGTGATTATATGTGCTTCTAGAGAGCTGCGATGATTGAATACAAATTTGCACATCTTTTTCAGGTTTAAGCTAAAACAGTTTTCCGCAGTATCTACTGATTCAGGATGTGAAAATATATTCTCAATGGATCTCACTCAGATCTTATTTTCCACACGTATTTTCACCTATCTTCTCCCTCGACTGTACCAGGTAGAGTTCTTTGGTTGCAAGCAACAGTAATTGCCTCTGGTAAATCTAAGCAAGAAAGGAATTTATTGGGATTTCCCTGGTGGTCCAGTGGTTAAGATTCCATGCTGCCAGTGCAGAGGGCATGGGTTTGACCCCTGGACAGGGAAGTTCCATATGCTGAGTAGCAAGGTCAAAAAAAAAAAAGGAAAAAGAAAGAAATTTATTGGGCAAAGTGAGGAAGCTCAAAGGATTGGAGAGAGAAGACTGAAGATCCAGTGTCGGAAAGGACTGAACCAAGCAGCTCACGAGTGTCCACAGCGTGAAAGTCTCAACAGCTGCATCTAGAAGCAAGGATTCAGATTCCAAAGAGAGAGGGCTTGACTGGTTTAACCAGGGTCAACTCTTCTCTCCTTGGTTGGGGGAAGGCACCCCGCTTCTGAACAATAGTCCCACCAGATGGTATCCGAATGGGAGGATGTAATCGAAAAGGGTAAATGGAGGATGCTATTACTGAAAGAACGTGGACTGAAAGCTAAAAGAAATAAACCCAAAATAACAACAACAGCAAAAAACAAACAAATGAGTACCATTCCCTCCCCTTTCCATTCTACTCTTTTTCTTCTCCTTTTGTATGTTTTCCTCTCTTCATTTCTCCTTTATCTTCTCTGTCTTTCTTGTCTCTTCCTTTTCCTTGCCCTTTAAAACTTGTTATCTTGGCTGGAACTTTTGCCATTGCTCTTGCTTCTTTGCCAGAGACCCTAACATAAAAATTGTATCACCCCCATAAATGGGAAAGAAATCCAATATACATATACATGTATATGTATATATCCCCTCTTTTTCTGATTTCTTAAATGAACAATGCAAAGAAGTAGAGTTAAAAGAATGGGAAGACTAGACTAGAGATGTCTTCAAGAAACTTGGACGTATCAAGGGAACATTAAAAGGACAGGCATGATAGAGGACCTAACAGAAGCAGAAGAAATTAAGAAGAATACACAGAACTCTACCAAAAAAAAAAAAAAAAATCCTAATGATTTGGGTAACCATGATAGTGTGGTCACTCACCTAGAGCCAGCCATCCTGGATTATGAAGTCAAATGGACCCTAGGAAGCATTACTACAAACAAAGCTAGTGGAGGTGATGGAATTCCAGCTGAGCTATTTCAAATCCTAAAAGATGATGCCATTAAAGTACTTCACTCAATATGCCAGCAAAAATTTGGAAAACTCAGCAGTGGCCACAGTACTAGAAAAGGTCAGTTTTCATTCCAATCCCAAAGAAGGGCAGTGCCAAAGAATGTTCAAACTACTGAACAATTGTGTTCATTTCGCATGCTAATAAGGTTATGCTCAAAATCCTTCAATCTAAGTTTCAGCAATGCATGAAACAAAAACTTCCAGGTGTACAAGCTGGGTTTAGCAAAGGCAAAAGAACCAGAGGTCAAATAACCAACATTCGTTTGATCAAAGAAAAGGCAAGGAAATCGACAGTGTGAATCACAACAAACTGTGGAAAATTCTTAAAGAGATGGGAATACCAGACCACCTTACCTGTCTCCTGAGAAATCTGTGTGCAGGTCAAGAAGCAACAGTTAGAACCAGACATGGAACAACAGACTGGCTCCAAATTGGGAAAAGATTACCTCAAGGCTGTATATTGTCACCCTGCTTATTTAACTTATATGCAGAGTACATCATGCAAAATGCCAGGCTGGATGAAGCACAAGCTGGAATCAAGATTGCCAGGAGAACTATCAACAACCTTAAATATGCAGATGACACTATTCTAATGGCCGAAATTGAAGAGCAACTAAAGAGCCTCTTGAAGAGGTGAAAGAGGAGAGTGAAAAAACTGGCTTAAAACCAAGCCATCATTCAGAAAGCTAAGATGATGGCATCCAGTCCCATCACTTGACAGCAACTATAAGAAGAAAAATTGGGAGCAGTGACATATTTTGTTTTCTTGGGCTCCGAAATCATGGTGGACGGTGACTGCAGCCATGAAATTAAAAGACTCTTTGGAAGAAAAGCTTTGACAAAACTAGATACTGTGTTAAAAAATAGAAACATCACTTTGCCAACAAAGGTCTGCACAGTCAAAGCTATGTTTTTTCCACTAGTCGTGTACAGATATTGAGAGCTGGACCATAAAGAAGGCTGGGTACCAAAGAATAGATGCTTTTGAATTGTGGTGCTGGAGAAGACTCTTGAGAATCCCTTGGACTGCAGGAATATCAGATGAGTCAATCCTAAAGGAAGTCAGTCCTGAATTTTCAATGGAAGGACTGATGCTGATGCTCCAATGCTTTGGCCACCTGATGTGAAGAGCCAACTCATTGGAAACGACCCTGATGCTGGGAAAGACTGAGGGCAAGAGGAGGGGACAACAGAGGATGAGATGATTAGATTGCCTGATGGACTCAATGAGCATGTATTTGATCAAACTCTGAGAGATAGTAAAGGACAAGGACGCCAGGCATGCTGCAGTCCATGGGGTTGTAAAGAGTCAGACATGATGTAGTGACTGAACAACAATAACAACACCTCAAGGAGAGGAACTCTTCAGCATTTTCTGTAAAAAAAATCTACAGCATCTGCCTTTAAAAATAAACTCTTTACCTTCTGTGGAATTTGGAAGAAAGGATAAGTGCTTCTTCAAAGATCTACTTTATTATTCTTCCACAAGTTTGCTAAGATTTTTTTTTTTAATATATGCTGATTGCAAATGTTCTCTTTGGCCTCAGTAAATGCAGTCAAAACTAAGTGGCTGCATTTTAAAGACAAACTGGTTATATATATATATATATATA